CCCAAGTAGCTGGGACCACAGGCGCCCGCCACAACGCCCGGCTATTTTTTGGTTGCAGCCGTCATTGTTGTTTGGCAGGTCCGGGCTGGGGATTTGAACCCGCCACCTTAGGTGTACGTGGCTGGCGCCTTAGCCGGTTGAGCCATAGGCGCCGAGCCTATTGTACCATTTTCTAATTTAAAACATTTTAATTTAAAATTTTAGTTTTATTAAAAAAAAAAAGTATGCTTGGTTCACAAGCACTTGTAAAAATGCGAACAGGGCAAACCGACCTATAAGTAAAAAGTCCAGTCCCTCCTGTTCCCCAGGTTCCATCTTTAGAGGTGACAGTGGTCATCAGGCTCCCACGTGTCTTTCCAGAGCTGGTCTAGGCAACTCTGTGCATGGATGTATGTGTGTCTTTGCTTTTTAGTGCTATGTGGTAATTCATTGTAAGGATATAGGGCTCCCATATCAAACATGTAATTTTTTTTTTTTTTTTTTTAGACAGAGTCTCACTTTGTAGAGTGCCATGGCATGATAGCTCACAGCAACCTCTAATTCTCGGGCTCAAGCAATTCTCTTGCCTCAGCCTTCCGAGTAGCTGGGACTACAGGCCCTGCCACAGTGCCTGGCTAGTTTTAGAGACCAGGTCTCCCTCTTGCTCAGGCTGGTCTTGAACCTGCGAGCTCAGGCAATCAACGCACCTCCGCCTCCCAGAGTGCTAGGATTACAGGTGTGAGCCAGGGCTCCCGGCCTAGAGTGTGTAATTTGTGCCAGTTCCCTGCCCTGGGGCTGCTTCTACTTTGAGGAAAAGGCATTTCGGGGCTGTGGTGGGCAGAGCTGAGGACCCAGCTTTATAAACTAGCGTCCTGTGTGGCTGCACGGTAATGACTCTAACTAGCTATCTGTTAATGGAAGTGTGGATTATTCCCTGCAGAACCTACAACCATGTGCAAATAAATGCCTGCATGCACCGGTGTATGTTAGATTCATGGAAGTACAATTGCGGATAAAAGTTCACGTGCAACCATACACAGTCACATACTGATGACTCTGCTGCCAGCATCGGCTGATGACTGATGTCAAGAGCTGCCGCTTCGGAGGTGTTCCATCCAAGGGGACTCTTAAGGCAGCGTTTAAGGGGCTACACAATATTGTCCTACTCTGGTGCAGCTGGCCTGGTGTCACCAGGCTCCGGCAATGATTTAACTCTTTGGTTTTTAATTTTTTCATATGGAAACTGGAAAAAATAATAGCACTCACTTCACAGGGTTGTTGTGAATTAATATATGCAAAGCTCTTAATTTTTTTTTTTTTTTTAGAGACAGAGTCTCACTTTGTCACCCTCCGTAGAGTATCGTGGCGTCACAGCTCACAACAACTTCTAGCTCTTGGGTTTAGGCGATTCTCTTGCCTCAGTTCCAGAGTAACTAGGACTACAGGCTCCCGCCACAAAGCCCGGCTATATTTTGTTGCAGTTTGGCCAGGGCCGGGTTCAAACCCACTATCCTCTATATGAGGAGCTGGCGCCCTACTCACTGAGCCACAACCCCGCCCATATGCAAAGTTCTTAAAACAATGCCTCAACAAACGCTCAGTAAATGTTAGCTGCCCTCTCCTCTCTATCCTCCTCCTTCCCTTCCTCCATCTCCACCTCCTCCTCCTCACATTACTGGACTTCTGGGCAGACTTTGAGAAGCTCAGTGAGACCCAAGAAACTTTTGCATTTTAGGCCCTTTTGATTTAGGTATCATCCCAGGTTCGTGGGTTTCAGATAGGATCCACATCAGTGCAGAGTTCTCACTCCACATCCCCGTAAACTTGCCGCTGCTTCATGCTAAAACTCTTGGGCTCATGCTGATTCCTTTCTCCAGGGCAGACTTTTTCTGTGCCTCTTATCAAGACTGCAGCAGGGTGGAGAGTCATGTGTGTCATGTGTGTGCTCAGTGCTGGGGCAAGAGGCAGTCGCTCCATCTCTGGATGACATCTTCTTGCAGGGGCCCTGCCAGGGTCCCGCCCCTGACAAGCAAGCAGTGGGAAGAAGGGCCAGGTGTCCCCACTAAGTAATGGGCCTGGCCCCAGACCTGGTTTTCTTTGCTCTGAAAGGGTTTTGGCAGCAGGTTGGCTCCCAGAGTTATATGACTGCTGAGCAGTAAAACAGTGTGCTGCCCCTTCTGAGCTTGAGAAACATTTCCTAAAGGTGATCACAATTTTTGGTGTTGTAAGGGGAGCAAAGGCATTATTTCCAAATTAACACATTAGGCTTGGTGCCTGTGGCTCAAGCGGCTAAGGCGCCAGCCACATACACCTAAGGTGGAGGGTT